GCAAAACACCATCTGCTCGTCAGCCGATAGAGACCTTCCACTCGCAGCAGATAGGCTTGAAAACAAGCATTTCCTCTGCAAATTGCGTTGAGCTCCAGGCGAATGGATTGGAAGGCAATCTGATCGCCAAACCTTGGATTGAAATGGACTTTGCGGCTAGCGCAAACTGCGAGAAAGCAAAACAAAAGGGCACCGGCATCTATGGGGAGACACATTAGACTCGGGTCACTACTGGGTGACCAAGAACATGTTGCACCCTCCAAGATGTTGGGTGACCAGAGCATGGGATCCTTGTCTTGGGAGAAAATGAATGCATGACCCAAATCAGGAAGCGCAGGAAGCACGTGTCAAATCGGAATGGTGTTTAACCCTGCAAAGCTTGGCCCAGAACAGCAATGATCTTCAAGAATCTTCCAGGAGCAAAGACCGTTTAGTAAATCGGTGGGTGTGGTGTGCTGTATCTTTCGACAATTACTGCCCGGGTCTGTCTTGGTTGCTCCTCTCTCCAAGTTATATAAGTTTCCCTAAAAATCAAGAAACCAAATCATTAGTGCGAGCGCTTCTTCAAGGAAGCTTCCCCCGCCGCCGTAAGAGCTTCCTTGAAGAAGCGTGAGCTATCCTTTGTCCATACTAGTAGCTACTTGTAGGTAGTAGCTGATCTCTTCTTCTACAGCTAGCTAGCTATCTCTACAGCTACTACCTACCTCAGTTGCGGCCTACCCTCCCTTTAAAAATAAAGACCTCATTGTTTTGTGTTTCTGACGAATCGTGAGACCTCACCATCCCCGTGTGCTTTGGTTTCTGTGGTCTCGCACATCCGAGTGGTGAGGAAGTCATTGCCATCCTCAGAGACCTGCCAGAAAACGCTCGTGGCTGTCCCGCTCGGATGTGGTGTCCATCCTGTCCCTGGTGTCTGCAAAAAGGACCATAATGGTCTGCTTCATGTGCAGGCTTGCAGCTGTCCCCGCACACTGCTTTCCTGCCTTTCTCTCTACCTTCCATCTCGTCCTGGCCCTTCCTTTCTCATTCTTTCTCCCTCTTTAGCTGAAAATCAGGTCGTTACCATCAGCTTCTCGGTCTACCCTTTTCGGCTGCGAATTCGGACCCGAAGAGTTGGAGCCCGACGACGGACGAAGCGTTCGAAGCTGCACCTCATCTGCGGTCGTGACGCCTTCTGACCCTGGGGAAATGGAGGCCGTCAGCCATGCAGCCATGGATGGTGGGACACCATCCAAGTGGTATGAGTCTGGATCTTGAGGAAACATCAGATTCAGAAGCATGAAATAGACATCAATAGACTAGTGGACCTTTCACAGCTGGGAGAACACTTCACACTTGTGAGATCTCCGGCTTGTTTCAGGAACTTTCACATTCTCCAACAACCATGCAGATGTATATATATATATATGTAGATTGTACGGCTGAGATGCACGCTGATGATGACGTAGATCCTTAGTAGCTGAGCAGTTTGAACACAACCCTGGTTGGATCAAGTGACGTTGTGGATTGCGTGGCAGGGATCATGCCAAGCCTGCCAAGCCTGTTCAGCCTGTTTGGTCCCTTTCATCTTAGACGAAGTTTCTTCGGTCCTCAGCGTTTGCCCCCCGGCCGCAGGGTTGGCCCACCCAAAACAACACATAGATACAAAATTCAGATCCTGAGACACCACGTGGGTCTCTGGCACGCCTGTTCGCGGCCCTTGCCTCAAACTGGACGAGTTTGAGCAGTTCCATGTCTGTTATTTTCACTCCCTCTTCGTCAAGCTGCGGCAAGACCGAGCTCCTCAGCGCCACGATGCGGTCGATGGCAATCTGCCCTCGCCTGCGAGACCGAGACCCAACCCGACTGGCGGACTGGCCTCGTGCAGGCACCGTCTCAGCTCGGACTACTCACTCTGTTAGTAGCAAGGCACCTTGCTACTAGCCTCTTGTTACTGGTAATGCCAAAAGCTCCTAGTAGCTTCTTGTTCCTAGTATTGACGCCCTTTGTTCCTAGTCCTCACGTCTTGGGAGCTGAGATTCTTCCCTGAAAGACTTTGGAGGGCCAGTCACTCCCGTCACCAGTCATTCCGCAGGTGACAAGACTTCGGTGTTGTCGACCCCTTTCCTTCGCCCCCAAGGCCTGCTCATGGCCGCCCACCTCCAGCTGCGGGAAGTCGACACGAGGTTTGTTGGTTCGCTGATCGAAGAGGTTTGTTTTGCACAATCAAAAAGGCTGGCAAGCCCGTTCTTACGTGGTTGGCTCCCCACCATGGACCAAACCAAACCTGCAAGAATTCCCTCGGACACAAGGCCGGGGCGTTGGAGATGTCTTTTGGAATGTTTCACGATGTGTCCTTTCAACTGCAAACAGCCATGCCAAAAGGAAGCGCCTCGACCCGCCGAAGCGCCGCCGGCTGGAGCGGTGCTCTACACATCGAGATGAGTCGGAAAATGCCAGAGATGAGTTGTTTGGGCCCTCCCTGCGACTTCCCAAACAACCGGCACAAAGCCACCAGTTCTTGTTGGCTCGACCAACTGCTTTCCTGCCCACGGCTGTGACCAAAGAAAGCCATCCCAACTCAAAAGACCTGGACGGGAAAAATCGAACGTGTCTTGAGTGGTCAAAAGCGTCACTTCAAAGAGCAGCGCCTTTTGTCTTGCAATGCGAGTGAAGTTTCGAGCAACGAAAGTTGATCAATAGCGCTGATACTAAACAAAACTTTATCCAATCAAACTTGAAGGAGCTACTTGCCGGTACGAAGACTTGACAAGTAGGTATTGCGCACTCCTTAGAGCATTGGGGCCGCGGTTTGAGCTGGCGATTCTGCCGGTGCTCCTGCTTGCCTGTAGTGGAGCTGTCACTTCACTCGCTACAGTGGTTCTTCGCTTTGGGCTCGGCATTGGTCTCCGCTTGCTCTTGAGGCAATTGAGGTGTTTCTGGACTGAGCGCTTTGGGCTCCGTTGACGGGGTTTTTGCTTCAGTGTCCTCTTTCTTCGCTGTGGAGGGCGTGCCGCCCTCGTCTCCCCGATCAAGGCGCTATACTCAATCAATTTGTGTGGAGCAGAGCTACATGGCAGTGGACGAAACAAGAAAATCTGCGCTTTGTGGTCTTTTCCAGCGATCACACCAGGCAACCCATGAAAATCCAAAGGACCACAGTGAAGATGTTCGTCAACCGAAGCAATGTTCTTGGATATGCACCAAGACTGAAGGTCAAAACATTTGCTTCCTTAAGATGTTTCTTGTGCAGATCGGGATTGTGCCTCTGTGATGTGATTATTTGTTCACCAGAAGTGATGACGAAACCTCTCTGGCAAAGGGTTTAATGTTGCGTCTTAGCTGCGGACTCATCTCCAATGGTTCCAACCCTCTTTCGCTGATCTGCACGTGTGCAAGATGGTCAAGAACAAATCGGGAAGATCCCCAAAACGCCCAAAACAAAACCTGGACGGCTGGACCCATCGACTCTGCCAAAGACTTCAAAACGCGTGCTGGTAAGCAAAGGTGGGAGGCACCAACAAAAACATACAAAAGCTACTGCGGTGTCACTGTCCAGGGTCTCTGCGCTCACCGTTTTTTCACAACGAAGGCGATTGCTCTTGCCCGTTGAACTGCTTTCGTGAGAAAGCGGTGGGTAACAGCTTTGATCATGTCTTGCGTTCTTATACAAAGCTCATAATCCATCGAGAGACATAAGCTACGATAACAGAGAAGCATAAATGCCACCTCACCAGACAGCTGAACGGGCTCAAACACACCTTGCACCCTGCGAGTGAGAGATCGTCGGACCCGCTGTGATCGATCAAGCAGCTCGAGATTCGCTGGAAAGGAGCTTCCGCTGCACATGCGAACATGGAGTCTTTGAACCTGCAAACAAACATGTTCATTGGATTTCATTGGAACCCTCTGACGGCAGTAGTTCGCGAAAAAATCAAGCGTTCCATCTTGAAGAGTTTGTACACTAGTTCCTCAACAAATTCTAAGCCTTTCCAAGCAAAAAGCATTTGTCGACCTGTTCCAGGGCCTCTATCAAATAGTCCTAAGCATTCATGGCCCCACATGCTTTTGCCAGCAAGGGTGGCTGGAGCAAGTCCAAAGAAGCATCCAGCACAACTTGGTTCAATGTCCTGCCCTTTTGCCAAAAAAGCCAAGCTTGCTACTCTTAGACTCTGCCCTGACCCAGGCATCCAAACATCAAAACCAACTAGGAGTAGATGCATAGGATGCCCGTGGGAAGGGAGGCCGTGGGAAGTGGGGTCTCCGCGAACTCCGCACTCAAACTGGTTCCTTGAATCAAAGGAGAATCCTTAGACCATTCCAAGCTTGCTCCTGTGTCTCGAAAATCCTTGCACATTAAACATCACTCTTCAGTCCCGCTGAAAATAGTGTGAGGCGTCTTGGTCAAAGTGAGATGTCTCGGTCGGCCCCTACAGAACCCTTCGTCCAAGGATTGTCCTGCCAGAATACTTTTGCCCGCAGCAAGTCCAATGAAGTTGCGTTCAGCGTTGGATGTGGCCACTCTGTTCAGCCAATGGGCGATGTCACAAAAGCACACCCCTTCCGAAAGCGCTCTTTTGCTTCGGATGTTCAGTCTCGCGTGAGCACTAAAAAACGTCTGATCAATGCCGTCCATGCAAAACGAATCAGACTCCTGCTGTTCCATCTGTTGTCCGGACCCAAAACAGATTATGCTCTCTGAAAGGAGGGCTCATATGATCATATCTGATGATTCAGTTTCAGTGCCTCCTTTAAGCAGGGCCTAGTCTCGCTGCGCCCCCTCAAGAAAAAAATCTAGCAAAGTCAGGATCCAAACCAGAAACACTACATGGTCGAAACTAGTAATAAGAAGCACTAGTAACAAGTGCATTACTACTAGTAACAATAAACTACTAACCTCCAAACTCCCCATGTGGCCCAAAGCTTGAGCCCTATACGACCGTCCCCCTACCATTCGAAAAGTGGCCCCTGCTTGGCACCACCTCCAACGCCAAAGACTACTGGCCACGGGCTCACCGGTGTCAGCCGAACATATCCATCTGGAGAGCAGCTAGAGAGAGGTCCGGATATGCAGGGACATAGACTAGAGCAAAAACGACCATTGCAGGGATGGGGACTTTGCCAACATAACTTTCAAGAGGCAGGCGTGGGCGAGCCCATGCAGTTGGTGCTTGAGCTAGTTAGTGGTAAAGTATTGTAAACTTATGTATAGATATGTAACATGTATGTAGTATTACATAGTTATGTAATGCTATGTACTACATCTCATCATCTTCGGACACCTCTTCATATCATCTTCGGCATGTCGATGGGATTCTTCGTCAACTGGGCCCCGTGCATCATCTGCGGCCTTGGCCGCATTGCGGATGGCACCTCTCAGCCGCTCGCGACGTAGGAGACCGGAGGAGACCGGTTGGTCTTGGAGAGGGAGAACACGGTGTTCTCTGAAGGGAGTGGGAAGTTGGATTGCTTTCGAAGTGCTGGTCCTTCACTCGTCCACGGCGAAAAGATTCGTTTCAGAACATCATGGAGTCATATGGAGTCCATGTCTCCTTGTCTTTCATGCGGTCATACAGTGTGGTACGAAGAGATGTCTAGCTTCGCGCCTGCATCCATGCTTCCACCAGCACCGCCTGAAGCTCCGGGCGATCTCCGGAGAATGACACGGACCAGGAAAGCGAAGCATATCCGCCGCCTGTGTCTAGCGACTACGTGACTTCGTTAGCTTCAAGCGATAAAAACCATAGTGGTCACTGCCAGTTTGGTAACAACTATGCTAAGTATGCTAAGCTCCCATGGACTCTATGGGCTCCATTAGATCCCCCCTGGCTCGGATCTGAGGTCGGCTGCTCCGGCACCCCAGATTGATGGATCCTGTCTTTTGCAGCAACTTTGTCTTCCAAAAGGATACCAATACTGAAACGTTCTCAAACGCAAGCAAATGATCCTCAATCCAGGGGATCACCGTACCCATGCACAGCGAACGAAGCTTCGCATCCACCCAAGAAAGGGTGCGAAGAAAACGAGGTTCATCCGATTCATCCTGGTCAAACCTCTCGCAGATTCTTCCAAGATGGTTTCTACTCTGATTCTTCAGGAGTACTCCATGATGTGCTGTACCATAGCTGGTTCGTGGATGCGGAAGTCAACTCATGGCCAGCCCAAGCAGGACCCAAGGCCCAACGCGGTGAACTGAGCATTGAAGGGCAAACATCCAAATCCACGGTTGCTCTTGAGTGAAAATTGTTCTCAGGTTCCAGCGCTTTCTATTGAACACGAGACACTAAAACCGACTGGCGCAATTCTGGATTTGCGGCTTCTGAGAAAAGCTCTTCAAAGCTCGTGGGTCCTTTCTAGCAGCATGTCGTTGGGCCGCAGCATTTCATTGGGCCAAAGCATGTGCTGGGAACATGCGTCCCAAGGTGAAACATCGCAATCTGCGATCTGCCAAGACATGATGAAACTTCAGTGCCTTGAGACAAAGCTGCTGAACTGCTAGTCAACATCGTACTGCTCTCCAACTCAACCAACACTTCTTTACAACAAGTCTTTGTCTTTCAGTGGGTCCCCATGGCACATCGACCTCTCCAACTCGCGGCGTTAGTTCCTCCCGTTTTCTCCCGTTGGCCCCAACGGGCCCCGTTGGGGCGTCGCCTGCAAGCTGCCCCGGGCCTGTCTTGCCACCCAGGTACTTGGCAGCACTTTTGTCAGCCCAGCCTATGCCGCGTCGGTGGGGGGCAGTTCGGTGCGTCGGGCCGAACTAAGCGGTGTTTCCATCGGGGTCCCTGACGGGCCGTCGGCGGCATTGGGGGAGTGGTCATGAGGATGGAGGATCCGTATACCCATTGAAGTTTGCTCAACTACATTGACGTTGTCCTTCCACTTGGAAGATTTCATGGACAAGAAGCGTCCAGCACCTCCAAGCAGCAAGATTTGACATTAGCATCACTAATTTGGAACCTTTCGACTTCGATCTAATAAACGTGAGAGTCCTCACAGTAGTAACAGTAGTATGAAGGATGTGTTTGGATGCACCTGAATCGGCTAGGACATGCTAGGACCGTGATGCCTTTCGGGCATCGCTGCTACTGAAAAGCGACCGTGCAACGTGCTGATCTTTCAGAGTGCAACTCCCCTGGAATTAGGAGTCGCCTAAAACAAGAACGAAAAGCTGCGAAGGTTCTCGTGCTTCGTTTCTTCTCAGTCAAACACAGCTGTCCCAGAAGTTTTAACAAGACCACTCGAAAACGATGTGTAGCAACTTCCAAATCGTCTAGGTTTGGTAGAGATTGCTGACAAACAGTATCCTTGGATCTCCGCCCTCATCCTTGGTGGCTACAGTAGGAGACTAGACTGTAACTGTTTCCATCAGTTTAGAGGAGACCCAAGAATTGTCAGAAAACATCATCAGGTCTGCTCTGCCACTGTCAGCTAGTGCTTCCCACCAAATTGGACCACCATCACCGTCAAGTTGTCCTCGCTGCCGCCTGCCAAGTCCACGGGGGAACGATTTCGTGCTCTTGGTGCGCAAGGATTGGCCACCAAAAGGATTGGTCTCAAAACGAACCCCCGACCCGAAGCACCAAGGCTAGGGGGGGGGGTTCAAGTCTTCCTACTGTGTGACCGACCCGTGAACTCAGGAAAGCAAGCAAACTTTCACCAGAAAAACGGGCCCATGTGGAACTGATCAGTCATCTGTGTCTCGACTGACTTGATGTTTCATGTTTCTGCTAGAGATAGATCATGAAGAATACCCAATGTGCAGGACTGATCGAAATCAGCTGCAGTTTCTTGGAACAGCAAGTGCTTTTCCATGCTTTCCCTGGCGCTGATCTCGCTCTGGAATGATGCGCAGCATCTTGAACCAGTCATGCATGCACGTGATCAACCAAACCGCAGGGCCCAACCCAGCACGCATCCAAAAGTGTGGCAAGTACGCCGCTTCCTTCAGGCTAGGAAAGAAGCTTCTATCCAAAAGCATAATCGAAAAATCACAAGGGGCTCAACGAAGCACATGTGGCACACTTAGGTAAGCACTACGCTTAGCTCCCGGACGCTTGTAGGCAGACCGCACAATGTTCTTTGCAGCTTCCTCCGGCTCTCGCCAGTGCCTGACAGCCCAGTTTGGTATTGGTCCATGGTCAAGCTGCCCCTTTTCAGAGCTACTTGCGTCTCAAATAGTTGGATAGGCTTGGGTGCCGCAAAGTCTTCAAGTAAGCTGCTGAGACATCTGGTCTGGAAGTAAAGGACATGGAGGACATCACCGAAAATCCCATGGTACTTTGCATGTCCGTGGTCATCCAACGGAACTGATGAATGCACGTCGCAAACGACGTGGTCTCTCTCCACCCGCAGCTGACGACTCGCACCGCATGGCCAAGTCGATCACTTCCTGACGCCGAGTCCGAGCTGAGTCGATAGCTTCACTTCGGATGGGGACTCGAAAGCCTTGACGTTGAGAGTTCTACAAAACAACTCTGCGCACCACAAATGGCGGATAGCTGCAGAAATGGTTGCTGTGGATCCTTGATTCGAGACCATGCTGTTTGCTATCCCGACATTAAAAAAAAGCAACAGTGAGTGGTCCGTCACCACAGATCAACCTCCATTGGATACACTGACCTAGCAGAACCTCCATTGAGAGTTGCCACATTCTTCGAAACGAATTCAGACCGTTCTTCGAACACCTCCACGGTGACTCCAAGCGGCTGCCCGGACGGGATCCGACTCCCGATCCCGAAGGCCTGATTGCTGAGCACGTCGAAGACGCCATCGGTGCCCAGAACGATGAAAAGGTCCTGGTGGGGTGCACAATCTGCTACTAGGAACAAGAAGCTACTAGAAGCTCCTGGCATCGCTACTAGGAGCAAGAAGCTTTGGGTTGAACCTTGGAGTTTCTGACTTGTTCAGAAGTCTTTGGCATGAGTTTCTGTGCGTAAACACAAGACTGTGAAGCTGTGTTGTCTGGAAGCAGACATGTTGATGAAAAAGGACTGAGCATATTCTTTACAAAGCCCCTTTCCCATACAGTACAACAGCGACGAGGGAGCCCAAGCTTTGTTGCATTCATTTTTGGATGCAGTAGACCTGCCACCGTCAGCCTGTATCAAAAGGAGCCATGAAAGCTGTGGTTGATCGATCCTGTGGCCATGAATGTATATTTACTGAGCTTTGGTGACTAAGCAGCTGTAAAACACTGTCATTATCTGACATCAACAAGTAAGTGCTATGTCATCTCTCTGTGAACATGTATGGGAATCCCAAGTCAGTACTGTAAAGATCAAAAAAAACAGGTTGGTTAAAGACCACCTCAAACAAGCTGAGTAGTTTTTTTTGCTCCATTTTGTGTCGTGAGACTCGCATCAGCACCTCCTATCTCATAAAGCCATTTTGGCTTTCTTGTGCCTTGGCGCCATTTTGGCATAGGTGCACATGGCCTGTTTATTTAGAGCATGAGGTGTTTAAGGGCAAAGCACTTGTGGCGGCCAGGCTTTGGAAGAGTGTGCTATGAGCGAGCCATAGTTTCACGCCGTTGACGCGTGATCGAACTACATTCAATCAGGAGGCTCATGCTGCAAATGCTCTACAGAAAGTGTGCATGAATCGGCGCTGGTGCCACTGCCAATGCCACAGCAGGTCCTTAGCTAGCAAAGCTAGGTCTGCAGGAGCTCAACACGACTTACTAAGAAGAGATTGCCGGAAACATCAGTGTGGGGAATAACCTACGCAGTTGGAGGTGGACGTGCAGGACCGCAGGGTGCACAAGTCCTACGGTTGAGTATCTCATGTCACAAGTGGTGGTTTGAGGGAACAGGAGGGCACAGCGACACTGGCATGCCATGGCCACTCTTTGCATGAGTAGGGCACGACGATAGCGACGACGACCACGACGACCACCACCACCACCACTACTACTACCACCACTACTACTACCACCACTACTACCACCACCACTACTACTACTACTCCTTCTACTACTTCTACTACTTCTACTACTACTACGACGACGACGACGACGACTACTACCACTACTACCACTACTACCACTACCACTACCACTACCACTAACTACCACTACCACCACCACCACCACCACCACCACCACCACACCACTACTGTACCACTACCACTACCACTACTACGACAGCTACGACTACTACGACTACGACGACTACTACGACGACGACTACGACTACGACTACGACTACGACTACTACTACTAATAATAATACTACTACTACTTTTTTACTACTTTACTACTTACTACTGGACTCTACTACTCTACTACTTTACTACTTTGCTACTATACTACTTTACGAGTACTACTCCTTACTACTCCTACTCCTACTCCTACTCCTACTCCTACTCCTACTCCTACTCCTACTACTACTACTACTACTACTACTAGGACTACTACTAGGACTACGACTACGACTACGACTACGACCACCACCACCACCACCACCGCCTCCAGGGCCACCTCTACTCTACCTCTACCACAACCACGACCACTACCACTACCTCTACGACTATAACACTACTACCTCTACGACTACCACTCCACACCCACTACCACTACGACTAGGACGACAAATTCATCTTCTCATGATTGTGATCCTCTGAACACTGTTTGGGGTCTCTTGCCGGGATAGTTGGGCATTAAAACTTATAGAGTATATATGTGTTTGTATTTGGGGAAAAGTGTTCTTGAAAAAGCCAATGAAGCGCCCTCTTGATGAAGGGTAGGAAACAGGAAACTGGTCACCAATCTCTTCCCCTTCTTGCTGACCATGCGGCTCCTGGCCACGGACCTCTATCAACTTTTCCGAGATGGCGACCCAGC